GCCTTCTATGATGAGGTAACTGGCTCTGTGGATTGGGGGAAAGCAGCGGACATGTTATTCCTTGACTTCAGCAAAGCTTTTGATATGGTCTCCCACACTATTCTTGCCAGCAAGTTAAAGTAGTACGGACTGGCTGAATGAACTATAGGGTGGATAGAAAACTGGCTAGATCATTGGGCAGTGATCAATGGCTCCATGTCTCGTTGGCAGCTGGTATCAAGCGGAGAGCCCCAAGGGTCGGTCCTGGGGACGGTTTTGTTCAATATCTTCATTAATGATCTGGAGGACGGTGTGGATTGAACCCTCAGCAAGTTTGCAAATGACACTAAACTGGGAGGAGTGGTAGATATACTGGAAAGTAGGGATAGAATACAGAGGGATCTAGACAAATTAGAGGGTTGGGCCAAAAGAAATCTGATGAGGTCCAACAAGGACAAGTGCAGAGTCCTGCACTTCAGACGGAAGAATCCCATGCACTGCTATAGACTAGGGACTGAGCGGCTAGGCAGCAGTACTGCAGAAAAGGACCTAGGGGTTACAGTGGATGAGAAGCTGGATATAAGTCACAGTGTGCCCTTGTTGCCACGAAGGCCAATGGCATTTTGGGCTGTATAAGTAAGAGCATTGCCAGCAGATTGAGGGACATGATCATTCCCCTCTATTCAGCATTCGTGAGGCCTCATCTGGAGTACCGTGTCCAGTTTTGGGCCCCACACTACAAGGATGTGGAAAAATTGGAAAGAGTCCAGCAGAGGGCAACAAAAATGATTAGGGGGCTGGAGCACATGACTTATGAGGAGAAGCTGAGGGAACTGGGATTATTTAGTCTGCAGAAGAGAAGAATGAGGGGGGATTTGATAGCTGCTTTCAACTTCCTGCTTTCAAAGGGGGTTCCAAAGAGGATGGCTCTAGACTGTTCTCAGTGGTAGCAGATGACAGAACAAGGAGTAATGGTCTCAAGTTGCAGTGTGGGAGATTTAGGTTGGATATTAGGAAAAACTTTTTCACTAGGAGGGTGGTGAAGCACTGGAATGGATTACCTAGGGAGGTGGTGGAATCTCCTTCCTTAGAGGTTTTTAAGGTCAGGCTTGACAAAGCCTGGCTGGGATGATTTAGTTGGGGATTGGTGATGACCGGGGGGTTGGACTAGATGGCTGAGCAGGGAGTTGGACTAGATGACCTCCTGAGGTCCCTTCCAACCTTGATATTCTATGATTCTATGATGGGGCCCAATTGCATGGGCCACCCAGTCACGGAGTTGTCCAAGCTGCTCCTGGACTGCAGCACAGGGTACTGCAAAGGGGACTCAAGCCATGATGCAGCAGGGGCCAGTACTCATGAGGACATTAGTGATAGCAGCCATTCAAATAGTTCCTTCTGCTGAGTTCTGTCATCCTCCTTTAGCAAATGTTCCTTTTCTAGGAACTAGGAAGCAAATGTTAGCTCCCACACTGCAACCCTGTCCTCAAGCTGTACAGCCAGTCTGAACCTTTCTGCTTGCGTCTCATCATGCCTTTCCTCTAGCCATAAGTCCCTCTATCTTAGGTAATGGACCTCCTTGTTGGCCTTGTCCAGAACTACAACTATAAGTTCATCACAGAAATGCTTCCTTTTGGAATGGTCCATGAAGGTACACTGACACAGGCTTCTTCTGCACTGTAGAAGTACCAGCTTGTAGAAGCGGAGGGGCCTGGAATAAGGCAAGACAGAGAGGGTTTCTGTCTCAAATAGCTCTGTGCAGGAGCACAGAAAAAATCCTTGTGGAATTTCAAGGACAAATTACTTTTAAAAACGGAATTTCAATATATTGTGAGGGGGATGCTTCAGCCCCCAGAAGCTCCCTGCACACAGCCAGGTTAATCACAGTGAAATAAGTACAGAGACAATGGCAAGTTAAAAATCAGAGCTGCCTTCTCCCCCTCCCCCAAGAATTGCAGAACAACTTGGGTTGTGGGAGGGCAACGGCGATCAGTGGCTGTTCCACAAAAGGTAGCTCTATCACTTCAGGCATTCCATGTTTTGGAGGACATACCAGTTTTTGTGGTGCCCGACTGGCAAATAGAGGTGTTACTGCAAGCTGCCTATGGGAAACCAGCAATGTATGCCACTGAAATATGCAAAGTAGTGACTGAACAGTGCCTCTACTAGTGGAGTGGGATGGTCAGCTACCAAAATGGCTCTGGAAAATATCCCCTTTCCCAAAATGTGACTCCCTACTTGGAGTTCCTGCTATGGGAAAAGTTTGCAGCTATCGGCACCTGGGATTGGGTCAGAATTTATGAGGGAATCAACAAGATGCTGTGAGAGCATCCACATCACTGAGCCAGTTATGACTGCATGCAGACGCACAGAACTCCACAGCCATTCCCACATCCCCAGCACATTTCTGGACCAAACCAGAAATATTTGGGACAAATGATTTTGTCACCTATGGACTGCATTTAATTGAAATGGACCAGATTTGTAAATGGAACACATTTTCATAATCCCCCCAGTTTACTGTTTCCAAGTACCTCATTACACTATTGAGCGGTTACAGAGCAGTGTACTTATGGGGATAGCAACATAAACTTGTTATTTTTAACAACAGGAATCTGCTATCAAAAATGTGTGGCTTTCCAGTAAAAACTCACTTTTAAATGTGTTATTAACTGTTTGCATTTCCTGGTCTCCATTTTTGAATTCTGTTTGTCTGCCAGCGCCTCAGTGTTCACCAATCTGCCACTAGTGGTTACGCACTGCTACCCAGGGCTAGTACCAACTTTTGCATTCATTCATAGAATAGAAATCACTCCCATTTCTATATTAACAAACATTAAAACGGAGCCGGAAACTTACAAGGCTCTGTGGCAGGCCATTCCACTATGGGGCACCAAAACACTCTTCTGAGTACAGCCCCGAGATGAGTTGCAGCTGCTCCTTTGGCAAACCCTCCTCTGGGACTGGTGTCAGCAGCAGTCACTTTGCTGACTTCATTTGGTGCCAACTGCTGGTTCCCATGCTGGACTCTGGAGCCTGCAGGTTGCCATCTTGGCTGACCAACTCACCATGCACCACCACTGGTTCCATGCTCAGCACAGCACATAGCATCTGATCAAACTCACCATAAAAAGGCATGACTGTTGGTGGGTTGCCTGACACGTGGCTCTTGTTGCTATTTTTTCTGGTACTCAGTTTTGAGTCACTTAATTCCCTCTGCACTGGGCCAGTAAATTTCTAATGCTGCCAGCTTCTTCGCCATTTGGTGTTATATGTGGTCATTCCTATATGTGGTACTTTTACTAAAATCCACTGTTTAGCTGGACTCACTGTAGAGATTAACCAAAATCTGCCTGCGCTCCCACAACCATGAAGCAGCGTGTTTTGCAAAGGACTCCTTCTGGTCAGCCTCCACTGCAAACGCAAAAGGTTCTCCAAAGTTGTGTTTGCAGCTCAGTGGTCAGAATAAAACGGAAGGGCTAAACACCAACTTGCTGAGCTGCTGCACTAGAAGGGGGTTGCTTCTGTTTCCCTCAAGTAGATTGTCCTCTCGCTCTTTCCCCCCCAAGAATTGCCAAAGAATGTCAGCGCAAGGGATTATGGGATACTTTTGGCAGACTCTCAGGACCCGAGTCCAGGGGAGACTGTGTTTACCCAGGTTTGAATCCAGGGTCTTGGCTTGACCCCTCCAAACTTGTGGGGTCCTAGAACCCTGGGTGCAAGCCTGAGTCAAGGCATTTGTGTGCAGGCAGAAGGGGTCTTTAGGTACAAGCCTGACTATGGGCTTACACTACAGTATAGACATGCCTTCCAATAGTTCTTTAAGTGAACGTGACTAATGTCATACAGAACTATGCAACATTTGCTCATTCTCCCTCCTCCACTCCCCCAACCCCCCGCCCCTCCCAAAAAGAAGAATTACATATGCCGTGTACTGTTTTGGCAGGGTTTGGGGTTTTTGTTTTGAAATGTATATGTTGCTATGTGTTAGAGTAGGAAAAGTTGAAAAAGTGCACCTTGCACTTGGAACAGAAGGTGATGTTGTTTGTGATGGTCCTTTGTTCCTGTGAGAGTTTGTTCAAATGTCTTGGAACAGCTCCTGAAAGTTCTGTCTCCATTACATAGGAGTGCTACCTTTATCCTAGTGAGTGTAGAGACCTCTAGGATGATTTTTTTCATTAAGCTTCTCCTCAGTTTAAGAAGTAAAACAGAGAATTTCAATTGTTCCACTATAATTTACATAGTTACTACAACTAAAGTTTATCAGAAAAGGTGAATTTATTGAGCCAGATTGAGGCCACCTGTTCCACTCCCTTGGCACTGCTCCAATGATGCAAGGCCAGAAATTTGCCTGAACAGGTAGCTGGATTCTGCGGGTGCCACGAAGCCATCCTAGCCACCTCTATGGCAGCTGCTCCTCCTCCTACTCCCCAAGGCACAAGTTACGTGTGGGCAAAAGTATGCTGTATTCTGGTGAGCCCTGGCAGTTGGGTCCTTTAGGCACTATTCTAGTGGCAGCTCCAAGGTATAGTGAGGGCTGGGTTCAGTCCCCAGACAGCCCTGAAGACCAGGAGTACTATAAATGTGACTTAGAACGACCCTTCCCCCCTCCCATCACCTCAGTTCCTGCACTGAGCACAGGCTAGCCAGATCTGTGGACCTAGCTCATTGTTTTATTCAAATGAAGGGTTGTAAGTAGGGGGGAAATAATGCACTTTATAAAGCTACTTAAAGCCTGTGGACAGGACAGCCTGTTCATTTCTCTTTCTTGCTAGGTCATTACATCAGGAGTAAGCAAAGTATTTAGAATTCTTAGAAAACGTATTGTTCAGAAGGCTTTTGCTTAATCTTAAAGTGAAAATCATCAAGAAATAATTACTTTTCTTCTTAGGATGACTTTTACCTTCCTGGAGCTCAGCACTTCCCCAACAAGGTCAGTTACATAGCTTGACTAACACTGCATTACACAATAACTGGCATATAAGATTTATTTTTTTGAGAAATACGAGAACATTACTTACAGATTCTTCTTGAATGAGTCCAATTGTTTCTGCAACAACTGCAGCCAAGTTAAAAGACGGCTTTGCAACAGGATAGCTTCCCATCCCTTGTTTATCTATGTGGATAGAAAAAGGCATAATACATACATTATCATACATGATAATTTTATTCTACTCTTACACAGAGACTATGTAAATTGAGTCAGATTTAAGAAGAGTCCATAAATGGAAAACCACTGCACAGCGACAGAAGTGTGCTGAGCTGTTTGGGACATGGTCAATTTAGTGAAAACTTGGGATTCTTGTCTATACAGAAGGGATTCTTGGGAAAACTTTGGATTCTTGTCTATCTCTTCTATTCATATGCAGTCCCCCAAAATCAAACTGTATAGAGACAATCTGAGCAGAAATTACCCTTTCAAGCTAGAGTATGAGTGCCATGAAAGTGGCAAGTGGACTGGTGCAGTACGTATGTGTCAATTGTGATAGTGCACCAGAAAGTAAACGTAGAAGATGTAAACTTTTTAAGTCTAACTTTTCTAACACACTGCACGTACTATAAAACATTTCACACTCAGTGACTGGGAAAACTGAAGTAAAGCATGACATTCTATATTCTTTAGAATAAGAGTAACATTACCTAAAGAGGTAGAGTACTATGCAAGGTTATTTCTTAGTTACTGCATTTTTAAGATTACTGAAGATACCTAATTAATTCCTTCTTAATGATTACATCTATAAAATATAAACCGTAAAATCTCACTACAGGCTTACACACCAAATATATTTGATCCGATTTTAGTGGTTAAGCAGACAGCAGAAAATAAGAATATTAAGATTCCAGTCAAACTAATGTGTTAAAGAGTCATTACCTTTGGCTAGTCTCAATGACTATGCTTCACAAGCGGTCACAGATTTTTTTCCTGACGTCTCTGCATATCTGGAAATGGCTACCTTTTCCAACACACTTCTCTACTGGTAGCCAGGCAGCAGTACCGTGTTTACCATAGCGCCAGTGGCTCCATGGCACCGGGCCCAGAGTTAGAAGGGGCCGCGGCCAGCCTGATCCCCAGGCTGGCTGAGCTGGCCAGGAAAGCTGCCCCCGCCCTGCCTCTTCCCACCCCTGCTCCGCCCCAGCCCTACCCCCACTCTACCTCTTCCCCAGAGCTAGGTCCCGGGGGACTGCAGCACGAGTCGAGTGCCCTGCACTCACCAGGTGGCAGGAAGTGAAGTGACCTGGCCCCAGCCTGCTCCACTCCACTGGCTCCCAGCCATGCCGTTGGTGAGTGCTTGGGGGCAGTTCTCCCCTACCCCCCAAGTCCCAAGGCTGGGAGCCAGAGGAGCAGAGTGGAGCGGCCTGGGGCTGGATCACTCCACTTCCCGCCACCCCATGAGTGTGGGGTCGGGCCCGCCCTGCAATCACTGGGTGGCAGGAAGTGGAGCGACCTGCCCCAACCTGCTCCGCTCTATTGGCTCGTGCTGGGGGGTGGTTTCCCCCGTCCCCCAAGCCTGGGGAGGAGATGGAGCAGTGGGGAAGGGGCATGGGACGGGGGGAAGGGGATGGGGGAAGTGGGGGCTGGGGAAGGGGCATGGGACGGGGAAGAGAAGGGGATGGGGGAAGCTGGAGCCCAGCATGTGGCATCCCCTTGGCAGAAGCTGAGGCTCCCCTGTTAAGCAGGCCCATCGAACCCTCACCCTGAGAAGCAGCACTCCCCTGCATCTGTACCACCCCAATGAGCCCCCCCCAGACACCCTCACCACTGAGCCCCAACCACCTGCACCCCTAACCCAAATGAACCGCACCTCCCCTGGACCTAGACCCCACCCCCGTTGAGCCCCAACCACATTCATCTGAATTCCCTGCAGAGTCCCATTGTCCCTGCACCTGGAACCCCCCAATGAGCTTCTGTGCATCCAGATCTCCCACTGAGCCACCCACACCCAGATTGCCCCACAGAGAACTCTCTTACCCCCACCTGGATCCCCCCAACACTAAGTCCCTCTGCACTTGGATCCTGCTGCTGAGCTGAGCCTGCTCACCCACACTGGTGCACCTGGCACAGGGGGGCAGGGCCCCAGGGTGTTTCTGGCAGGTCTGGCCCTTGCACTGTGTCAGGGTTGGGTGCACCTCACTCTGAGTCCCTGTCCCGGGGTAGGGTCGGGGAGGCTGCAGGGTAATCTCCCACCTCCATGCAACCAGTGGCCTGTGCTCCCCATTGCCATGTTGGAGTCTCCACCTTTATTTATTGACAAATAAAATTAGCAGAATTTTAAAATACTGTGCACAGAATTTTTATTTTTTTGGTGCAGAATCCCCTCAGGAATATGGGGTGCTGTGCAGCTGTAATGGTGGGATTGTGAGGAAGGTGGTGGGCAATGGGGAGGTCTATGGGCGAGGGGTGTGGTGTGCAGGGTGCTGTGCAGTTGTGGTGGGAGGCCAGCGGGGTAGGTCTCTGAGAGGGGTGGGGCTAGACAGAGATCTGTGGTGGAGGTCTCTGGGCGAGGGGGCGCTGGGCATAAAGGGTGGGGCACTGGGCAGGGTGGGCGGTATGGTGCGGGGGAAGGGTCATGCTGGCAGCACAGGGCTGGGCAGGACAGTGTGCGTCTGGCAGCTGCAGGTTCATAAACAGTGCCCTCCTGCTGTGCTGCGCAGAATGGGGCTGCTCCCGCCACACCGTGCCTCATTGCCCCCAGCCCGCCCTTCACTCTGGAGACTGATCATCCCACCCCCCCTGCACCTTGCCCACAAATGGGGGCCCACAAATACGTTTTGTGCCGGGCCCACAAAAAGTTAATTCAGCCCTGCCAGGCAGAACAAGTAGAGTGCTGAGCATAGCAGCAATATCCAAACAGACATGGAAGCACAGAGCAAATAGACACAGAAGAATGGACTGGGCTCCCTTTGATTTCTGCATTGTCCCCAAAACCCCTCCTTGTTGAGCATAAAGGAAGAAAAATCCTGAGTGGGGAAAGCAGATGATATGCTATCATCATGCCTCTGTGACAAAAGCCCCCAAAACTCTACTCCGAGTTATCAAATTAAGTACTTCCACCTCAATTCAAGGGAAAATTGAGTTTAGGAAGTGGTGTTAGGAAAAGTATGTTGAAGTAATAGTAGCACAGTTTTTATATGGTCATATATTGACTTTTTAAGGATGCTGGGATACAGGATGATATCCTTTACACCTACACCCACCACGTCATTTTACGTTTCTGCAGAAGACAGCAACTGATAGTACACTAATTGCCTGTAATCTTCAGTCTGCTCTTTACTGAACGAATTGACAAAGATTTTAGAATTAGCTAAATAAACTGCAAATTTAAATACTCATTTGCTAGTGCAAATAGGTGATTGCAGGCCGAAGTGTGTAGCTACATGCACAAAATAGGTAATGTAACATGCAATTATCTGCACCCAACCATGCAACTTGGCTATTTTGGAAAATTTGGCCCCGAGTAACACAGTTTTACCAGGCTTATTTAATATCAGATTTTTTTAAAACTGATCATAAAATTTAATTATTATTATACTGCATTTCAATATGATGTTATGCTACATAGTTCACAAAACAACATTGTTATTTCACATTTTATTGGAAGTTCTTCTTCTGAGTGAAGAATTTTTCCATTTTGAAAACATTATCCAGAGTAAATTTACTGACAACGAAACTCAGCATTTCAGGATAGCCCATTTAATCTATGGGCAAATTACTCCAACTGGGTTAAAAGAAAGACTTTATTCTAACTGTCCTAACATATTTTAGAATATTTACTATCTGCTTCTAATATAGAGGAATTTAAAATTCAAACTCAGATTATTGCTTCAGACAGCTAATTACTTTAAAAATAATCCCATATTGAAGGAAATCTATGCTGTCTCCTAAAAACAGAAACATGGCGGCAGACATGAGGGACTGATCTGCCGTAAAATAGTTGCCTGTGAGGTCTGACAAATATTTTTAATGCCATATGGTTTTACAGAATCTCTCATTACTTAACTGTATATATGGAATATGAAATGTTCACAAATTTGTAAAAATTTTTACACAATTTATTCAATGCATTATATTTTTTCCCCTTAAAGTTACTCATTTAAGGATTTAGATTAGGGAAATAAAGAAAGGCAAACTTGTCTTCTTATAGAGTTGTAGAACAGCTCAGTTCATTAAATCAGGGGGAAATAATGGGCTTTCAGGTGAGAAACGTTAAAGAGTCCGACAGAAATAGCACTGTTTCAGAAAGTATCTCCAGTCATCTAATTAAATATTCCCAGAAAAATCCAGAAAACGGATATTTCTGGAAATTACAAGCTTGACATCTTGTTTCTAAAGTAAAGAACATGAAATGGAGAAAAAAATAAAGCTACACCAACCCATGATTATGCCAAGAATACAGGAGCAGAAACCAAGTTTAAACATTTGGAATCAAATGGGAGAAAAGATTTTAGTTATAACTTCTTGTACTGGAGACAGCGCTGGATGACTACAAGAATAGTAAGATTTAGCACTTACAGTATTTTAATCTATTTTATAGACATTAAAAGACTTTCCCAAAATGACAATGGAACTCAGTGACAAGAACGGGAACTAGATCTCAGGAGTGTATGCCAGCTCACTGAGGAAATATCCACAGTAATTATGGGATTAAGATTACTCCTTTTTTCTTGCTCAAGAGCTCAAATTGAAAACTACAAATTGAATTTGAGTTACTGGTTACCCATAACTGCCTGCGTTTTTTCCCCTTATGAAATAAATATGATTAAACCTAGTATTTACTTGCTATAGGGGACAGTTCTTGGTCACAGGTGTCTGCCACTAGTATTTCCTTTCCACCATGGTTAGGAATTTGAGTGGATGACGACAATGAAACTTTTCCAAACTCTAGATAAAAGAATAAAAATAAAAAGTTAAATTGGATATGACCTGGCTTCATAATTATGAATAGGTACAGATGAGGGTTTCAATCCTGTAAACACTTGTGCACACACTTAACTTTAAGTATATGAACAGTCCCATTATCTTCACATGCTTAAAATTAAAGTGTTTCCATGATCAAGACTTGAAGGGGGGGGGGAGGGGTGAACAAGACCAACAAATAGAAGTTATATTTCTTGAGGTGACATTGTGCTCAAAAGGAGTACTTTTTAACATGAAAGCGTAAAATAAGCCAGCCAAATAACACTAAAGATATTTTGACAGATAATCATCACTTATGTATGTAACACATTACAGTTAGACCCCATTTACTCAAAGCCTATGTTCTGTACACCTGCCAGCTGAAAGGGGAGGCAGTTGCTTCAAAATTTAACTAATAGAGGGGATAATTTTCAGCTGTCCCAGCACAAGGTCAGTTAAGACCATGGTGAATATAGTGAATAACTTGCACTTTGGATTACAAACATGACATTTTGTATGGTTATACACTGATACGCAGTTAACCTTTTCCAGCATGGTACCAACAGCCTGTAAGAATAGTTAATATACTTTGTGATTAATATCTTCTATTGTTATTCTTGAAAAGAAAAGAGCCTATTAAAAATTTATATTTATAACTATTCAGAAGCTTCTATATTTGCAGGATACATTCTTATTTCGAAGAAATAAATTAACATAGTATGAGCATCTGGAATACAATATTCAGATCTTGTAACATGCATCTTGTGTATCATTATAATACATGCAGGAAACCTTACTGCACCTAAAAATAGTTTTTATTGTTATTAAAGTAGTTTACATTTTCTAAGTGAATATCTTAGACCAAGTTTAGATTAGTCCAAATGCCTGCAGTATTAATGGGTTTGTGTACAAGACAAATGTAAGCAGGATTCCTATAGCAGAAAAACATGTTTTGCAGTTGCTCAATTCAGGTGGCTGTTTTGTTGATTCTGATGCAACTTCTCTGCAATAACTGAACATGGCAGGATGGCTTTTCTTTTGTTCTCCACTAGGTGATGCTAGAAACACACATAGTGAAGAAAGTGCAATTCCAAACTTCAGGTAAGTGTTACTCCAAGAAACTAATTCAGGGATGCCTAGATGGTAGAGTGAAGTGCTGAATGGCTATTAACAAATATCTAACAATAAGTAACACCTGGTTTGCATAGGTGTTAACTGCGGGTACAGCTTTTACTAAACAAACTATTACTAGCAAGGCTGTGTGTGAAGGAAAGAATAGAGCTAGACTTCCAAAACTTTAATGGTGAGGATAATTAACATTGGCACAATTTACCTAGGGATATGATGGAATTTCCATCACTTGTTTTTAAAATCAAGACTGGATGTCTTTCTAAAAGATATGCTATAGCTGAAACAGAAAAGTTACAGACTTGTTGCAGAAATTATTGGGTGATGTTCTTTGGCCTATGTTATGCAGAATGTCAGACTAGATCATCATAAAGATCCCTTCTGGACTTCAAAAAAAAAAAAAGTGTATGAATTTATGATTCCTAGGCAGTTTTCAGAGTTGACTTAAGGAAAAAAAATCTTTTTGCTTACAAACTGAACAAGTTTGATTCTGAAGTCACCACATATGTTAATTATCTGAACAAGATTTGGATTCAGCCCCTCAGTTTCTTTTTATTATTTAGGAGTTCTAGAAAGGATAAGATTCAGAAGAATCTACTGTCTGCCCAAATCATATACGAATATGGGAATTCAGAAACCTTGGGAGAGTAGGACACACTTTAAACATACCACTAGCATATTGGTTAATATCGAAACAACTTTGCACCCTAGAGCACAGGCACAATTATTACAATACATAATCAAATTCACTTTTTTACAGAAGGCTTTTAAATCTTTTGAATTAAAAATTAAATGTGGCTTCTGTTTTCTTTTCCCCTTTAAAATCTTGGAAAAGCCACTATAGAAAAAGATGACCAATAACACTCTTACCGTTAGTGCTTTCAGAATGCTTCAGATCTGTATGTGTTTGCTCTGTGTATCGGACATGCCTGTTCTCTTTCTTTCTTCGGATACGATTAACCACGGATAGTGAAAAAGATTGAACTGGTGAATCTGGAATGACCCCTTCCTCTAATTCCACTGCTTGTTGATCTCTCCCCCTGAGGACAGAATTCAGAGCTAAAGTAAAACCTAAAAACAGCAAGATGAAGAGCTAAATCTTTAATTTTAAGAAATTTCTGAAAATCAGCTTAAGAAAATGACAATCACAGATTCAGAGTATATAGCCAAGTGCAACACGATATAGAATTAGTATTGTCATCATGACTCGAGACCATTAGAAGAGACAGACATAACAAGAAATTCAGAAAGGCTAAATCATCCTGTGAACTTTATAAACTTTCATGTTTCAGGGCTTAAGTGAATCTCTTGCAATAAAAGTCATCAAGTACTTGTCACTTTTGATGACAAGATACGGAAGTACATGGACCACTGCTCTGATTCATTATGGCAATTCCTATATTCATCAAGAACATAAAAAAAAAAAAAGAGAGATCTACCAGGCAAGTTTAAATGTTACTAAAATTGCTCAGAGACAATCTTCCGCAACATATGATTTCATGCTACGACTTACTGACTCCCCTATAGAGGACTTAATTTAATTTGTTTTTAGAAGATTAAGACCACTCCTAAGAGAGCCCTATACCCCAAGCGGTGCCACCTTTTAGAGAAAGGAGTAACCTAAAACAGGTTTAAAAATGCACAGATTAGTAAGCGTGTAGTTCACTTGGCCCTATTTTGTGTGGCCTCAGAGCCTACTCATGATGCGCAAAACCTGGTTTAATAAAGTGGTAAACCTTTTCTCCCAAGAAAGCATATCTAGAAGTGGCAGGGATCACAGAGGGAAAGAACAAGCTCTAATTAGAGATTGCTGAACTAGACAAACAGAATGTTTTATCCTTTTTTGTCCTCTTATGGGAAGTACTTTTCACTGTCACCTGGGAAAAGAAAATGAAAGAAAAGTGAAGATAAAGCAATAAGGAAATCGAACTTAGTCAGGTTGCTTGTGTCATTTTTCCTTAATCTTACTTCTCCTTTTGACCTCTCAAGAGAAACTAGAGACTGAGACCACTTTCCTGTCTTTAGAAAGTGGAATGTGAGGTCTTAGATCTAAAGGAAGAGGAGAATGAAGTGTGGAGAAACTGCCAAGCAAAATCCTCTTCAGTGACTAGGGAACTACCTAGCTACACAATAAAATAAAATAATGAAAGAGGAAATAAAATTATGCATGTTTATAGTGCCTTTAAACTGGTGATTTCAAAGTATTTTACAAAGATAAATTATTACCACCCACAAAAACTAAGACAGAGGTTAGTGAGTTGTGTACGGTCAAACAGCAAGTTTTGATCAAACTGACAGGAAAAAAAAAAATGTTGTGGTTGCATTAAGGTAACTTGTAATGACTTCTGTAAAAGAAGCTGGAAATACAATGAAAAAAATGTAGAAATCTATCAGCTCAATCAACAAGAATGACTGAGCTAGTTAGACTTAATTAGTATGACAAGTCTGAAGGCAGCTTAAATGTCAACTCAGGTACATTTTTTACCTGCTAATTTTGTTTCTTTAAACACTTCAAGGTGACTACTTAATGTGTGGTTTATGCCGCTTCTCTTCAAATAGGTGGTCACAGAAAACAGTGAAACCTTAAACCTCTGCCACCTCCTATCAAACAGAGTTTGCGCCACTTGAAATTCTCCATATGAAATTCCCTAAATACTATCAAGAACCAGTTATGAAACCAGTAATATTGGATACATATTTTCTCAACTTTTATCCATTCAGTTATCGTTCAAACATGAACTAACTGTTGGACTCTCCATTCAATATTAGTAGGATACTCAGTCTTGTACAAGATAACTGAGAAACTGAAATAGCATGTAAGAAATATATTTTTCTTCCATATTTTTGCTCCTGATCTATTTCAGATAGACTTCCAAAATAGTATAACATAAAACAGCCAGAGAAGAAGCGTTTAAAGTTCAGTTCAGTAACTGCTGAAAAGGATCTCCAGCGTATATAGTGTCCATAAAGACACCACACCAAATACATAATTCCTGAAATATGGAAAGACTCCCAGAAACCACCCAAAATATTTGAACATGGAAGTCTCTGATTTCTCCATCCAAGGCAAGACCTTTAGTAAAATAAGATTTGAACACAGAATACAGTTTTCCTATAATCTAGACTGCCTTCCCCTATACCTTCATAAGTCTCTTTGGAAATAGTAATTTTAGACAGTTTTAGACCTTGCTAGGAGAACAACCAAGCAGTAAAGATCTAATTTCATTATATGTGTTTGAAAAGGAGAAGACCTATTAATTCCCCTAGGCTATGTTCCTATCATCACAGGACTGATCCCTAGAGGACCAGAACTGAACAAAATATTTCGAGTGCTGTTGCATCACAGTTACATGAAGGAATACTAGCTCCCTCTCCAATGATGCAATATCTCTGTATTAAATACAGTATTACATGTGCTACCATATTACATTGGAGAATAAGTAGGTCATTGGATTGCATTTATACTTGGGGTCTCTTGCAAAATGTACTGCTTTTCAGAGATCCACCCCCCCCCAACTAAATATGTAATTTAGAAATCTCTTTTCTAAAAGCTCATCCAAGCGAGAAAGAATAACCCGAGTATCAACACTGGTATAAGTGAATATGAATTTAAAATCCATATTCATAATGACCAAGATAGCTTTAAGAGACCTTGGTTGTTTTAAATTATCAATAAGTCCAATCACTTGGTTACAGAAATTCTTCCCCTCTCACACATACACACAGTGTAAAATAAGGGAAAATGCTGCATATTGAGATAGCAAGATATTTGGAATTAATAAAGAACTGAAAACAAATGACAGTGGACTTTCATTGGAAAATTTAAGAGATTGACTCAAGTTTGAGGAATTTAAACAGACATTTAATATTTTCTGAAATTAATGTTGAGAAAAAGAAACTTACTTCATCTGCTTCTGCAACTGCTGAAGCTTTTCAGATATCTTTTTATTTTCATCCTGTAAGTTGTTTTTTTCATTCACTGCAATATATAGTAAAACCTCAGCACACACACTAATCTTATGTTGCATTTGACATTTGTTAGTTCCTCTAACATGACCAGGAAGTGAGAGATGAGATTATTACACAATTGTAAAACGGTAAACTTCTACTCTTTTATTGACATTCAAAAACGGAAGTATTCAAGTGAGTCATTAACAAGGTTAATTTTTTACAGCAAAAAGTTATTACAAATTATGGATCACAATGTTAATTAGTTCCATGTAATTCGTAGATACTTTAATTTTGGATGTGAGTTTTTTGCAGTGAGACTGAACAGCTCATTCTGGGTTCCTTGACATAATTGTCTAGACTGGGGATGGAGAGACCATGAAAAGCAACATAATCAAGGCTTACTTTTTGGTCCCCAAAATAACCAGATTGTCTGAGAAACAATAATCCATTATTATGATATTGGAAGTTGTAATAGAAATTAAAACTAGAAAGACTCATCACAATTTGCTGGCTTACAGCTCTGACCTCATTTCTTCCAACTCTCCTAATTCTGCCAACACTCACACTTAGAAAACACTCAGTCTCATCTCCATGCCTCTTCCCATAATGCCCCATATTGCTGGAATGCGAGGTCCCACCTTCCTCTGTTCATTTTCCCTTTATTGTCATGCTTCTGTTCTCTTTTCTTCTTATATATTTACTTTGTATTTATTTTGTTTTTATTCTCTCATGGTTGTAGCCCTACCAAATTCGCAGTCCATTTTGATCAATTTCAAGGCCAGAGGGTTTTTAATTGGTCAATTTCACATTTTCAGATATTTACTTCTGAAATGTCAGGGTGTTGTGAGCCTAGGGGTTCTGACCCAAAAGGGGATCATGGAGGGGTGGGAGGAGGGAAGGGGTCACAAAGCTGTGGGTGGCAATCCTGCAACAGCTTTGCGACCTCAATGACCCTTCTTTTGGGTCAGGACCTCCAGGATTACAACAGCCTGACATTTCAGACATAAAAGTCTGAAAATATGAAATTGACCAATTTAAAAACCCTCTGGCCTTGAAATTGATCAAAATGGACTGTGAATTTGGTAGGGCCATAACCATGAGAGAATAAAAACGAAATACATATACTGAGATTACAGAAGCAGCATTTCACTCCAAGTTAAAATGAAATTAAAACTATTTAAAAACTGCCTTTTTTGTTTATTTTGTTTTGAAGACCACAGAAGTGAGCGTTCTTGCTTTATTGAACTTCTCAGGCTTATTAAAAGGTACAATATGGGAATTCTCTCAACCTATAGCAGGGTGTATAATCACCAGTTTACCAACAAGATAGCAAAGTTTACAACAGACTGCATTTTGTCTTGGGGACCATTATACTAGATAACACTCACTAAGTTCCGTGATAAGTTTAAGGTTCTGTTGCCGGATATTTTCAAACTCCTGCTGTTTCTTTCTCATATGCTCCTCAGTTACTGCACAGCGATCACATAATCCTGCTCTTAATCTATGAGGAAAAATTAAAAAATAAAATTTTCCATCTGTTAGAAAGAATGTCATACGTAGGGCCCTACCAAATTCATGGTGCATTTTGGTCAATTTCACAGTCATAGGATTTTAAAAATCATAAATTTCATGATTTCAGCTATTTAAATCTGAAATTTCATGGTATTGTAATTGTAGGGGTCCTGACCCAAAGAGGAGTCGTGGTGGGGAGGGTCACAAGGTTATTTTAGTTGTGGGTGGGGGTGGGGGTGGGGTTGGGGTTGGGGTACTGCTACCCTTACTTCTGTGCTGCTGCTGGCAGTTGTGCTGCCTTCAGAGCTGGGTGGCTGGAGAGCAGCGGCTCCTGGCCGGGAGCCCAGCTCTGAAGGCAGAGCCGCAACCAGCAACAGCGCAGAAATAAGGATGGTACGGTATTGCCACCCTTACTTCTGCGCTGCTGCCTACAGAACTGGGCCCTCAGTAAGAAGCCGCCACTCTCCGGCCACCCAGCTCTGAAGGCGGCAATGCAGAAGTAAGGGTGGCATGGTATGGTATTGCCACCCTAACTTCTGCACTGCTACTGGTGCGGTGCTGCCTTCAGAGCTGGGAGCCTGGCCAACAGCCGCCACTATCTGGCTGCCCAGCTCTGAAGGTAGTGCAGAAGCAAGGGTGGCAATACTGCAACCCCCCTGAAATAACCTTGGGACCCCCCTTCAACTCTTTTGGGTCAGGACCCCCAATTTTAGAAATGCTGGTCTCCCCCCATGAAATCTGTATAGTATAGGGTAAAAGCACACAAGAGACCAGATTTCATGGGGGGGGGGGGCCAGAGCAGATTTCATGGTCTGTGACGCATTTTTCAAGGCCATGAATTTGGTAGGGCTCTAGTCATACGTAAGTCAGACACTGGTACTTAATTGGCTTTTGAAACAACAAAAGTAGTAAGCTGTTGACAACAGAAGGTTGCTAACTGAAGACATTTCATATTTTGATGTATTGATACTTGAACAATTGTACATAAACTAGAATTGAATGTTTACTTTGAATTGAGATTTAAAGGAAGACTTCAGTAATTAGTCATATGTTAAATAATCAAGCAGTTATTAGATGAGAAAATTATTAAAATGTAGTCTATGTGAGTTTGTGTAATTATATACACAAATTTCAAAATGGGGTTTTTGAATCACCTATCAAGTTATTTCGATTTAGTGAAGAATGCTGATTTATCTCAGTGAGAGCCTATATTAATATTTATATACATGCATTACAGTTATTTCAGCAGCATGCAAAATGAGTTAGGTAGTTTCCAAACACAAAGCAAGAGACATCCTCTTGAGCATACAGTCTAAAAAGAAAGATACAACATACAAGCAAAGCGATCAGGGTTAGACTATATAATGAAAAACCTTTTATAAGTAATGTTCAGTTACACCATGACTCCATGAAACCCTACTGCTTACCACCACTGCAATACCCAGGGGTTAAACTCTGGTGTTCTTACACCTCTCTATCAACTTTCAACCTCTTCTCTCCACTTAAATGAGCAGCTCACCGTATGCAAAGTAAATAAATGAGATAAGTAGATCACTTCCTTTCTTGTAAGTCTCAGGGAATACATTTGCCTGATACAGTTCAATGAAGTATCATATTAGATATAGAAAATAATAGCTAAACATTTTAATAATTGTAATTCTATCTAAAAATTGTCCAAAATTATGCAAAAGTAAGATACACGTTTAACATAAAATATGAACATGATAAAATTAAGCAAAAGAATATACAAGTTGGATCAGTAATCAATAGTAACCACTCAGTATGGAATAATAACCCCATGTAGCTAATAACTCAGACACACATACTTAGGGCCTGATCCAAAATCTCTGAAGTCAATATTTCCATTGATTTCAATGGGCTTTGGACCAGGCCCTTAAAGTATGTTTGTGGTCAGAAAAGGATTTTGTTTGAATACCACTTTTTTACTTGACATATTCTCTCCCTATTAAGTCATATTTGTTCACTTTGTAGGCAAAACCAAATGTTTATTTACTACCGTTAGCAATGAAGAACCAATAGTGTTATGGAACACAGAGCTGGATTCTGTTTTACCTGAGTTATCAAAATAATTGCCAGTTAATATTTCTGCAGTAAGAATTTATTCCTGGTAACTTAAGAAGCAGAAAGAACACAGCTGAATTTTCAGATCTTAGGTTGAGCATTGGCCCTTAGAAAAATCATCTTGACTTTTAAACTGATTATGTTTGATACTACAGCAATGGAGAATGACTGTAAAAAGGATGTTTTAGTAGTCTCTCTTCTTATCATAACCACATTAAACATACGGTATTCTGAGAGTTAAAACTGCTGTTTGTAATACAGTTGTCCTCCGTGAATCAAACAGTCTTAAATACTCTTGGTTCTTCAGAACAAGAGTACCTTGTCTGCTAAGTAACCACGCAAGTTCATCCATTTGTGTCTCTTTACTTTGTCCACGCAGGGTCAAAAGTTCAGTACCTTACACTATTCAATGGTCCTTTTCCCCTTCACAAAAAATTTCAAGGTATAATGCAAACTATAAGGCTTTTACCTTGCTGTGGATTTTGACCAAGCAGACAAGTAGGGAAATAGTCCCAATATATTATGAACTCCTGCTTTCAATGCATTCTAAAAGCCTTTTAGTAGTGAGTTTTATACAAAAGTAACATAATAATAGTCCCAGACACTTTTAAAGACAAAACAGGAGATTTGATATAATTTTATGCAATCTAATTTTGTTCAATACTAATAGATTAAACAAAAATAGGGAAAAGCCACATGGCATCCAAACTTCAGAAAGAAAAAAACAGAATGGAGCAAGTACTGATCAGTGAACAGCTGAGTATGAGCAAAGACTGGGGAAAGAGCCAAAGCTAATGAGCTTAAAGGAGAATGATCTCAGAAACAAAGGATCTAAAATCTCATGGAACAGACCCTTTACCCAGAATCCTGAAAATCATTATCTACTGGAAGAATGTCTAATCAGTTGTCACAAGAATTTTAAAATATAAAATGTAATCTAATAAATGCTTTCAAGTTTATTTTGCCATTTCCTTTAGAATCCTGGGAGGGATCTTGTCTTGCTCTGGAGTTTTGTCAATCTTCAAACGTGCTAAATTCTCAATTGCCCACGTAATTTACACCTCTTATTGCAATTTTTGTAGAGGATATGAATTTGTTTAGAAGTTGCCACATTGTTTCCAGGTTGATCTCTTTCATTTCTATTTAACTGTATTGCACCAAGCACTGTGGTACCTGGGAACTAATACAATTATATAAGAGGATTTGCACTTTTTACCTCTCCCTTTAACTATGATGTTCTGAGTATACATGAAAAAAGTTTGGTTCAGCCCTTCTCTCCTCTCTCCCCGCAAAACAAAATAAAACCTCACTCACCTGTCTTCTAAAACTTTGATAGTGTCATGAAGTCCTTTCTGATACTCTCTCAGCTGTTGATTTTTGGTATAAAACTCTTCAAGCCTCTCTGCATCCCTAAAATAAAGGAGAAACAGCTAAATGCTTTTAGAAATAGATAAAGTCTCTTCAGTTGTGAATAAAAGCTATTAAATTTCAATAGAGAATTCTGTTTATGGTTATGACCACTTTGCTCTCTGTAATGTTTCTTCTGTCTGAAGAGTGTGATTGATAATCAACAAAAATATTAAGTTGAAGACAATAAATGAAACACTTGCATGCGTTTACTGTGAATGGCTGGTAACAGATAATGTTCGAGTTATACAGAAATAGTAAATACTCCATAGTTCATGTTGCAATTGAATTTCCACTGATGTTTAATTTTGGACACTTCCCCCATTTAAACCCACAAAGAGAGATATGCCACTAAAAGAGCCATTAAAAATGGTAGGTTAGATCTGGGGCCAAAGCAAAATTTTTCTACAAAACTCCAAATAAATCAGACAAAAGTCATCCAAATTATAACAGCCTAAATACTACTTCTGGGGGGATTCTGCACCAAAAAAAAAAAAAAACAAAAAAACAAAAAAACCCAAATTCTGCACCAAAAAATTCAAAATTCTGCATATTTTATCAAAATAAAGCAATATAATCACAGCAGTTTCATTTGTTTTGGTAATTTATGTAAACTATGATACAGAAAACCCCCCACAATAACTATTCAGCATTTCCAAAACATACGAAAAGGGGGTGAAAAGTAAGTGCAATTCACAAAGAAATTTCAGATGAGAGTGCTGGGTGTTGTAGAGCAGTAAGTCTACGCAGTGGCGGTTGTTCTTCCCTCTCTCTGCCAGTCACAGTATGCCAATATTTGGGTGACTAACATAAAAACAGTGGGGTAGAAATATATTTTACTTTAAGAAAACTACAAAGACAATTTCTTGAATCCTTTTCTTCTATGATCCTCTTTATCTACTGCTGAGGATCTTGGAACAGAAGGATCAGAGTACTATAAAGGATCATAGGGTGGGAGGCACTGATTTGGGTGACTGAGGCACTTTGTAAACAGAACATGAACAAACAAACATTTAATTTTCATATACAAATTAAATTTTTACCATTTTATTTTATCAATTAAAAGATGAACAGCTGACTAATTTAATATGAAAGTTACTGAATTCTCAGATATAATATAGTAAAACTTACCCATTCTGCCACGGTAGCCTATGTGAACTCATTAAGCTTGTTCTCTCTTTTAAATCCTTTTGACAGGCAGGATTCAGAGGAAGTTTTATGGCACTAAGGATTAGAACACTATAAAAGCATAGTGCCAGGTTGGATGTTCAATTCCCAGCGATCCCCTGGTTTCTCCTACTACCCTTCCCCCCTTCCAGGATGGATGTTGCAACAGCCTACCCCACAACATGACTGGTTTGGGAGGGTGGGGAGTTACCCTTCCTATGGGTCCTAGAGTAGAGCTTAGTATCGACTGCAGCCTGGGAACACATTTTAAAGGTATTAAACCCTATCTAATCTAGTTGCTCAGTAATATTTGAAAACATGTTAGCTAACTTTAAAACAAAGCAAAAAACCCCGAACACTTTCTTCCTTATAGTCTAAGCAACGCCTATAAGGGTTTATTCAAGGAAGGGAGAGACTGACTATACAGGGGAACAACAAATCTGACTAAAAACAAACTGCTGCCAAATGCACAAAACAAACATTTTTGCTAACTTTTCTGTTATCTTGGGGGCTACCTGTAACTCATCAATATAGCGTTTTGGGGGCTTTTTTAGACAAATTTTCAAGTTGATGCTGTCCCTTTAGATGTTTTCAGCTACATTTTACAACTCATTGATTTTGGGCTGCTGGGGACTGGTGTTCACAAATGTGGTAGGAAGATGCTTCTGCAGTGTACTACCTAGATTTTTTTTCTTTTATTGATTTAGAATTTTAAAACAAATTAATACCTTGAATGCTTTCTGACTTCACTTATTACTCAAATCACTATCAGAGATCCAAATAGTGCTTTACAATACAAATATTACATTAACCTCTAGTGTAAGGAGTTTATGGTCTGAAATACCCGATCTTGCAAATGCCGGTAGAAGCACTAAAGCAGACTCTTGTCTCCTTGTGGAGTGAAAAGCCAGGGAAGAGTAGTTTAGGCATTCCTGATATTTAAGGGGGAAACCCTCCTCCCCTCCACACTCCTTTCAGGCCTGGATTTCAGTAAGACATTGGATACAGTTCCACATGGGAAATTTTGAGTTAAAATGGAGAAGATGGGGATTAATATGAGAACTGAGAGGTGGATAGGAACTGGTTAAAGGAGAGACTACAACAGCTCATACTGAAAGGTAACTATCTGGCTGGGGGAGGTTACTAGTGGAATTCCTCAGGAATCTGTCTTGGGACCTATCTTATTTAACATTTTTATTAATTACCTTGGCACAAAAACTGGGAGTGTGTTAATAAAATTTGAAGATGACACGAAGTTGGGAGGTATTGCCAACACGGCGTATCATAAAAGAAGATCTGGATGACCTTGAAATCTGGAGTAATAGAAATGGGAAGAAATTTAATAGTGCAAAGTGCAAGGCCATGTACTTTGGGAATAAGAATTTTTGCTGTAGGCTGGGGATTTATCAGTTGGAAGCGACAGAGGAGAGGGAAAGACCTGAGTGTACTGGTTGATCACAGGATGACTATGAGCTGCCAATGTGATGCACCCTTGAAAAAGTCTAATGTAGTCATAGATGCATCAGGTCAGGTATTTCCAGTATAGACAAGGAAGTGTTAGTACCATTATACAAAGCACTGGTGACATCTCAACTGGAATAGTGTGTGCAATTCTGGTCTCCATGTTTAAAAAAGATGATTTCAAACTGGACCAGGTACAGAAAAGGGCTACCAGGAGGATCCAAGGAATGGAAAACCTACCTTATGAGAGGAGACTCAAAAAGCTTGGCTTGTTTAGCTTAATCAAAAGAAGACTGAGGGGAATGATGATTGCTTTCTATAAATATGAGTGAGATAAATACCAAGGAGGGGCAGGAATTATTTAAGTGCCAATGTTGATACAAGAACAAATGGATATCATCTAGTTTAGGCTTCAAATTAAATGAAGGTTTCTACTCATCAGAGGAGTGAAGTTCTGGAACAGCCTTCCAAGGGGAGTACTGGGGGCCAAAAATCCTAACTGGCTTCAAGACTGAGTTTGACAAGTTAAAGGAGGGAATGGTATGATGAGACTACCTACAATGGCATGTAGCCAATCTGCAACTGCTAGTAGCCAATATCTACAAAGGCTGGTAATGGAACACTAGATGGTGAGGGGTCTGAGCTACTACAGAGAATTCTGGTTGGTGGGTCCTGTTCACATGTTCAGGGTCCACCTGCCACTATACTTGAGGTTGGGAAGGAATTTTCCCCTGGATCAGATTGGCAGAGACCCCCGGGTTTTTCACCTTCCTCTGAGCATGGATCACTTGCAGTGTAAATAGTGGATTCTCTGTAACTTGAAGTCTTTAAATCATGATTTGAGGACTTCAGTAACTCAGCAAAAAGTTATGGGTCTATTACAGGAGTGGGTGGGTGAGGTTCTGTGGCCTGCAGCATTCGGGAGGTCAGACTAGATCAGTGGTCTGCAACCTTTTTACACGCAAGATCACTTTTTGAATTTAAGATCAAGCCAGGATCTGCCCCGCCCTGCTCACTCCATTCCCGCCTCCCTCTGTCGCTCATGCTCCCCTACCCTCACTCAGTTTCATTGGGCTGGGGCAGTGGGTTGGGAGGGAGTGCAGGCTCTGGGCAGGGGCCGAGGGGTTCGGAGTGTGGGAGGGGGCTCCGGGCTGAGCCTGGGTCAGGGGGTTGAGGTGCAGGAGGGGGTGAGGTGTGCGGGCTCTGGGAGAGAATTTGGGTACAGGAGGAAGCTCCGGGCTGGAGCAGAGTGTTGGGGTGCAGGCTCTGGGAGGGAGCTTGGGTGCAGGCTCCGGGCTGGGACAGGGGTGCAGGCTCTGGGAAGGAGTTTGGGTGCAGGAGAGGGCTCTGAAGACAGGAGGTGAGGGTGCAGGAGGGGGTGCGAGGTGCAGGCTCCAGCCAGGAGATGCTTACCTATTTGCTTACCTGCTTCTCCCTCCTGTCCCACCCCCCGAACTGGGCCGCAAACGCCACCCCCGCAGTTCCCAGCCAATGGGAGCTGTGGAGTTCACGGGGGTGGGGCGGGGGGACAGCGCGCGGAGCCCCATGGGCTGCAGAGACATGCCAGCTGCTTCCGGGAGCAGCATGGGGCCAGCCTTAGCCCCGCCGGACTTTTAGCAGCTGGAAATCACGACTGACTGGCAGAGGCTCCAGGATCGACCAGTTGATCGCGATCTACCGGTTGGTGACCACTGGAGTAGACAGAATCAGAGAATATCAGGATTGGAATGGACCTGAGGTGGTCATCTAGTTCAACCCTCTCCTCAAAGCAGGACCAATCCCCAACTAAATCATCCCAGCCAGGGCTTCGTCAAGCCTGACCTTAAAAACCGCTAAGGAAGGAGATTCCACCACCTTCCTAGGTAACGCATTCCAGTGCTTCACCACCCTCCTAGTGAAAAAGTTCTTCCTAATATTCAACCTAAACCTCCCCCACTGCAACTTGAGACCATTACTCCTCGTTCGGTCATCTGGTACCACTGAGATGATCATAATGGCCCCTTCTAGTCTTAAAGTCTATGAGTCTATGCAAAAAAGGAATAAATCCAATTTTTAAAAGTAATTTATAGGTCATCTTTAAATGATCAAACTATAGACCTGAATCCTGTTTTACATAAAAAAGTACTTAAGAATATATAAAGGTACACTACCATCTCCTTTTAAAACTCAGTAGATTTAATCCTAAACTTTGTATTACTTTAAAACATGAACATAATGTAAGGAACAGAAAGAAGTTTTTCAGGATTTTGATACTGCTTGACAAAAGTGACTGACAATTTGGCAAAGAAGCTAGCCTTTGTCATGAATAGTCTCTGACCCTGCATTTACAAGATCATTAGCTCCAACACTGAACCAGGGTACAACATAAGGAGCTCATTGTCAGGCTGGTTATCAAGTCTGAAATATTAAACCTTAGCTATTCAAAAGCATCAGGAAAAACAAAAAGTCCTATGTAAGATTATTGTATCTACAATGTGGTACTTGTAGAATGACTCCAGCAAACAATAATTACGCCATTTGGTTTGATATGTATTAAATCACAACAAAATATCATTGATAATACAGCTCTTCCAGAGACCAAACTTCTCAAGAATGTAAAGTTTTCATTTTACATGGATGTAGAAACAGGTCAGGATATACAGGATTAAATCAGTAACAGCACCACCAATCAATCTCACAATTTTAGACTGGAACTGAAGCACAGCTAAATATATTTTTGGAAGCTGTACATAATAATAAATAAAAAGAGTGGTGCTTAATTTGATTTTTTCAAGATATTTGTGACTATTACACAAAGAAATAACTTAACTGAAAATCACTTACTATAACTGATGGTACACAAGCGTTGTAGTGAAAAACGTCTGATTTGATTTCAAGCTTGGTTCCATTATTGTCTGTGAAGTTACAGTCACTGTATTGCCAAAGCTACTTTGTTCCCGACATATAAACTGTAGCTATACACTATTTGGATTTTCGCAAAACATCTGACAGGGTGTTTCATGAAACCCTACTCTCAAAATTAATTAAAATTAATTTTGATATCAATGTCAAATGGACTGAAAACTGGCTGAAGGACTAAAAAGACATGGCCCAATTTGCCAAATTTTGTTCGGTTCCATGCATTATGTTTTATACAAATCTAACGTTTGCATAGTAGCAAATCATTTGCATGTACTACAAACTGAAGCCTAAGCTGACAGTTAACACACTCTGCTCCAATCAGAGATGGGAGTAGGACTTGCAGCGGCACAAAACTTGGCAACTCTGGCTGGCAAAGCTGGGTGAGTGCTCAGGATGGAAGCTAAGAGGTAGCTGTATGTGTGGTTACTGGGGATGTTGGTAGTGCTGTGGGTTTCTGGGTTGTTGGGGAGGTTTAGAGAGTGCTGAGGATGCGAGGGGGAGGATGAGCAGGCTGCAGATGTGGGAGCTTGAGGATAATGCGTCCCTCACCTTGTGCTGCTGTCCTGCCTTCTCTTTCAAATGCCACTGCTAACTCTTCCTAGCTATCCTTTTCAGGTCCTGATCCAGCAGAGGGAGTGGCAAGAGAGGCAGCAGGCAGATGACTACTCAGCAGGTGCAAAATTGACACCAGCTGGCCAAAAGATAGGACAGCAGCTCAGATGGATGTGTAAGAACCTAGCTGAGAAAAGGGAAGGTATGACAGAACTGAAATGCCTGACACTTGGCAGCATGAAAGAATAACAACTAGAGAATATAAGTGGGGTGTGTTTAGATGGAGTATGCATCCAACACTAAAATTTTGTTGGAACTGCAAACGCCAGTGAGGACTGACAAAATGCAGAGGGGCGTATAGACAAAAATCAAACCCAATTTAATTCGGAAAAATGCAAGCTAATGCATCTGAGTAAATACAAATCAAGTAACAAATTTGATAAACAGCAAACTACCTGGAAAGTAGTAGTTCTGAAAATGGACAGCAAGTTAAGCATGATTTCACAATGCAATAGGACAGCACAAAAGGGCAATGTAATTTTGATATATATGTAGAGATTTCACACCACAGAAAAGGGAAGTAATAATTCCATACTAAAGGGCTTTGGTGCACAACTGGCCTGGAAATCTGCCTTGATCTCCAAGACCCTCACTACCATAATGATACATACATTGGTGGAAGTCATAAAAGAGCCACCAGAAAGATGACACCTCTTGGAGTTATCATTGTACAAATACATACATAACTGGAAGACTAATAAAGATACTAAAAAGTAAATTTGGACAACATTGGGGAGGGTTCATCTCTGTTAAAAAGTATTTGAAAGGTGTAACTACAAAGGAAGGAGAGGAATTATTTATTCAAAATGGCATAACTAGGAAAAATGCAGCGGCTGAAATTAACAATGGGAAAATTAGTTAACATAACTACACATTCATACAGGTACAATTTGATTTACTTCTATTATCTAGGTTAATATACACATTTTCTAGTTCATGCGTCTAATAAGCTATGTTCAACATAGTTAAAAAAAGAGGAAAAAATAAAATTTGCACAGCACGGGAGTGTATAAACCTTCAGGCTAGGGATGTAACAGGTTAACTAGTTAACCGGTAAGCATTAGTCTTACCAGTTAACCCACCTTAACCGTTAACCCTGGGCCGACCAGCCAGCTGGCACTAGATGCACCGCACTGGCTGGCCACCCGAATCCCAGCCATGCTGCCCGGAGCAGCGCTGCCCAGCTGGAGCGGGCCCAACCACAGCTGCGCCCTGGCCTGAGGGGCCCCAGCTGCGCTGGTGGATCGCCCCCAGCCCCAGTTGTGCCAGCCAGCCACTTAATCGGTTAACCATTTAAACATTTTTAAACGTTTAAATGGGGTTACATTTTTAAACGGTATTTACATCCCTATTTCAGGCTGGAGTTCTTTATACAAATCACTATGACCCAGCTTAGTGGAGGAAGCGTTTAAAGGTAAACTGGTAAGCTAAAAAAATTTTAAAACATGGTTATGCCACTTGCTGCTCCTTTATAATGTACAGAAGCAACTTCACCTTAAAAAAAGGTTTCCTACTTATTTTTTCTCATATCTGAATTATCCTTTATGGGCACCCTAGAAATACTACAGAAGACTGCATCACCAGCTGCTCATGCAAGCGATGGAGAACTGGAGTTCAGGTTATAGATCCTGCAAATATTTATACATGTATATTACTGACTTCAACATTGCTACTCATGTGAGTCAAATTATACACATGGGTGTCTGCAGGATCAGGACTCAAGTCCTCAACTCATCATGTAGGAATTACAGTTTATTAACTATATTAAAATTTTCCTCCTATAAAATATATCGGTATGGCATATGGATAGGTACTTACAAACACCTTTCCTTTTTCAGTTTGGATATTTTCAACTGTAATCCTGGAAAGTGAAAAGAAAAAAACATGGATTATCTTTTGACTTGTTTTAACACAATTGTGTAGCTGAATTGTCCTTTCAGTTATGAGAGCTTTAAAAATCATTCATAACATTTAACCACTCCCTTTTCTCTTGTCCACAGGTAATTTATAACTCATTCTAAAAGTTGGCCCATCGGATAGGATCATTGTTGTTTGCAAAGCCCTACTTTGGAAATGGCCTGTTTCCATTTTTCCATTCCAGTGGGTTTTAGTCACACGAGGAATGTGATTTATTCAGGTGTATGTGATGCAAGAGTCATTCGGTTCCATGAGTGTTTCCTGGTGTCAATCTCTATGGAAATATGCTTGCCTGCCATCTGTGAAAGAGGAAAAAATGCTGCAACATAACTAGTGGAGGAGGAAAGTAGTGGCTCCTGGATTAAGAGGGTAGGGCCTACTTGGACCTTGCCATGATATCTGAATTAATTCTTGGCTGAGTTCAGGAACAGCCAATAATGGGATTTTCATGGCTATCTCGGGATCCTTAATAAATAACACCTGCTTCCCTCCTAAGTTAATATAGAAATTTCTCCTTTGTAAAAAACATACTTCACCTCTGCTATGCTGTAAAAGTAGGGGATATTGTGTACTATTTACATAAACAATTTTCTTGGACTTTGCAGACATGTAGTAGTATACAGTACTACGTGGGTATATAAAGTTGTAGAAAAGATTTCTGAAATGAATTTTCAAATATTACAGTATCCGGTCATGTAATTAAGGACAGTATCATGGATACACACAAAGAAGCAACATTAAGGGACGACCGCTTAATGTTCCTAAGTCCACAAGGAGGACATGCTTCTGGAGCTACTACTATTCTTCCAGCTCTAATGTAGCCATGCTGCTAGGGACTTCTCAGGCTGAAGCTTCCCAAAAAGCCTCTTTAAGATGATTTGAGGAATGATGCACATCGTTCTGTGACTTCCTCACTCTTTTCCTATTCAGTCATCCATGTCCTGTAGAGGAGGGAAGATTCACACATGTATGGGACCCTCCAAATGTCACTGTTGGGGATAATCAGATGCTAAGTACATGACAAATAAAATTAAGAATGGAAAAATAAAACATGTGAAGCCAATGAATAAGGAAATTCCCCCCCAATGCCTTCTTCAAACTTATAACCAAAAAAAAAAAAAAAAAAAAAAAAGACTTACCAGTTTTATTCATATTTTAAAGAAAACTTTTGAACTAAAAATACCTGTGCCAGCATGCCATTCACAAAAAAAAGGATATTCTTTAATGTTATAATCTCACGACAGCCTTATTAAGAAAGTGCTGACATAGTAAAGACATAACATAAAAACACAAAAATAAAAACTGTGACCTTGCTTGGAGAAGTAGAGGTTGGGATTGTCAAGAAATTTCCTTCCCTGCCCCTCCAAGAATAGCTAAATAAGAAAGTTTACTTGTTGACATACATGCTAATCTTTATTCTGGCAAACCTTCCAGTATTCAGGCTTCCACTTGGAAAGTAATAGTCAAGACAAAGATTCAGTGAAAACACACTATAGACCATGGGTGGGCAAACTTTTTGACCTGAGGGCCACATCAGCATTGCGCAACTGTATGGAGGGCCGGTTAGGGAAGGCTGTGCCTCCCCAAACAGCCTGGCCCCCCCGCCCCCTATCCATCCCCTCCTACTTTCCACACCCCTCAGAACTCCTGACCCATCCAACCCCCCCCCCGCTCCTTGACCCCTGACTGCCCCCTCCCAGGACCCCTGCCCCTAACTGCCCCCCGGGACTCCACCCCCTATCCAACCCCCCCCCCCCGAACCTCCACCCCATCCAACTGCCCCCTGTCCCCTGACTGCCCCTTAGGCCCCCCTGCCCCTTATCCAACCCCTACTCCACACCCCCTTACCATGCTGGAGCCAGCCACGCCGCCGCGCTGCCCCACAGGAGAGGCGAGCCAGAGCGCTGTCCACACAGCGGCGTAGCTGCGGGGGAGGGGAAAAACGGGGGAGGGGCCAGGATAGCTTCCATAGCCGACAGCTCAGGGGCCGGGCCGTATGTGGCCCGCGGGCCGTAGTTTGCCCACCTCTGCTATAGACTGTTACAAGATGATAAGGTAACAATGAGATAGAAAATGCATGGAGACTACTTCAAAAGAAAGTTCTTGGGACATAGGTAAAGACTTCTTATCTCATAAGCACTCAACACCTATGTGACTTTATGTTCTGTCATGCAGCACAGAAAGAGGATTTATTTATTTTTTAAAGTGGTTGCTATTCAAAGTCAATTAGACATCGGCAATTAGAACCCCTATAAAGTGTGCTTTAATCCTACTCCACACCCATCAGAAGGAATGAGGCTGCACAACAATGTGGCTCCTGTATGAACAGGTAGTCTGTTCAGCAAAGTATTTAAGATTGTAACATTGGCAACCTGAGCCGCCAACTGAAGAGGCAATGCTCAAAAGGCCAAGTACTGTGCTATAAGTAACACTATCTCCCCTCTCACCTGAATTCAGGAAGAGCTGAACTGGTTACTTAAAGTTTTTTTTAAAAGTCAAATGACTACAATGAGAAGGCAGGAATCCAGTTTGTTACATTTATCTGAGAGTGTAGAATTACTAACGTTACCCATATTCTCTTCCTTTTTGTCTTTCAGGGTACCAGGAAGCTTTGATCACACTAACTAATAGGACTATGCTTGTGTTTCTAAAAAAAAGTTTTATGTTTCCAGAATTCAATATATAGCAAACCAAATATTTGTCTAAAGTGGAAGAAATTCCTCAGTTTAATCACAACCACTTAGTTTCTCCTTTCCAGATACCTTCTTGCGAAGCAGGTGGATGATTTGGTGCAGGGGACCTATTGCTGGGATGTTAGGCTTTAACTGCTTTAAAGTGTGCAATGTGAAGGTGACTTGATGAATATTTATTAATATTGTTTTAAATCTATTTTTAAAATTAACATTTAGGTTAATATCAATACACAACATTCAACATTTAAAAGTGAAGGTTATGAGACTTGTAACTAGGCTACATTATGCATATATGTAATATTTTTCATTAAGGACTGTTACGATTACACCTCATTGGACAAGCACACAACTGGACTGTGACTTATTTATACCTTAATTAAGATTTAAATACAGTAGAGTTATCATAGCTACAGGAACTTCATCATTTTAATTTCTTGACCTGTATACTTAAGTTTTCAGTATTAACATTGTATTAGCATACGTCTTGGCATCTAACTCCACTGTCTGAGAAAAAAATGAAATGGAAATAGTTAAGAGAAACCAGAGAAAAAGCTATAGTAATTCATTCAAATGTATGCTATTTTACATTCAAACAAACATTTATTTGAACTGCAGGTCTTGGAATGTGAAATGCAGTTCTCTCTCTTATGGGATTAGTGTGTTCTGGGGCTTCCACCTGAGGGGTTATAGGCTGATTGGGTCATAATTGGCGGATTGGGTTATAATTATATTATGCAGATGACTGTCCAGAAACAATTGTACTGAGACCATAGCTGTCATATGGTGACAATTTCTGATCTTTACTAACATGGGTTGTGTTTTAAATAGTGACCTAATAGGGAAAAGATTCCAAATTCCATTATACATAGAGTCTCCTAATAGCACCTCTTTCTTATCCTCAAAAGCCAAGCATTTTAAGTAACTGGATGTAATGGAATGGTGTGTGGCCCACAACCTTCATCATTGCGGTAAATGCCTTCTCTCTTGCATTACAGTTCCACACAAGAAAACAGGTGATAGCGGAAAACCTTTTGAGGACTTCCATGTGTCTTATGTCATCTTAAAATGATGTGTGGAAGAAACTCAGTGTAAAGTTACCTATCACTTTACTATGTAATTTTAAGAGTTATATTTCTAATAATCTTTCATTATTCTACTGAAATTGCTAAATTCTGCAAGACAAATTTTTAGAAATACTTCTAAAGATGTCAAAAATATCTTTTATGAGGTACCTAAGAAACAGAAAATTTACTCTGAATGGATGAGAGGATCGGTTAATCCTGAAGGTAAGGATATAATTCAGTTATGATGAGCATGAAGATAGCAATTTCAACATACTTTTATTTACTTTTTCCATAGTCTTCAACCTTCTCATCTCCTACAGGGATCCTTCAATGCAAAAATGTGTTTTATTTTTCATGATCCTATCTGCCCTAAGACTCATATCTTCTTTATCACAGTCTCCTGTTTTTCTGTGGGTGTAATGGGGAAGAACTGGATTACTTATTTTATTGTTCTACAAAAACCTCCTTCTCTGTTTGTTCAATGTATTACAGGTATATTTGTTTCCTATAGTACACAGCTTCAGATTTAGTTTTAAAGATTATGCTTCAGATACAAAGTTGATGAGTGACAAATCCGACACCTACTTAGAGACTATTCATATCACATATCTAATTTGTAATTAGTATGTAAGTACTAATATCTGTTGGGTGATCTGGGCTCTTCACAAATATTAGTATTAGATAATATCCTGTGTGAAGTAGGGAAGTATTAATTACCATATGCATCTCACAAATGGGAAATGGAGGCAGAGATTTATTGATCAATTTTCAGAAGTACTGATCACCACAAATTCCATTGAAGTCATTGGGAACTACAGGTACACAGCTCCTTTGATAATTAGGCCTTGCTCATGGTCACACAGAAAGTTTGTGGCAGAAACTATTAGCTATTTTGTCAGCAGAGAAGCAGCTTTTCAAAGGTGAATAAACTGGCCTGATAGAAAATGAAAAAGCCTCCATTTATTCTCTAAAGACAAAGTACAGAAGTTGTAAAATTACATTTGTTAAAAAATAGTTGTTTTTCATTTAGTGTGATCAAGCACACAATGGAGAGTGCATACACATTTTTTTCCTCCAATGTACTAATAAAAAACAATCCAACATAACCAATGTAAAGCACTCTAAAAAAATTAGAACTTTTATAAAATTTCAGGCAGTTGTAACTTATGTTAACTTGCAAATCCCTGGAAAGCAGAATTTGTAACAGAAGTAACAGTCCTCTGATAGTCAGTACAAGCATACACAAAGTGCTTCACTTCTTGAGCAAACACTCCATTTCTCCTAAATATAACCATATGTAATATATATTTGCTGACATATAGATTTAAAACTCATGAATCAATTTTATTTAATTCTTATTAATAGACTTCAGAAACAAGCAAAGTCCAGGCAAGTCTTTGTTTGATGTGTCTTAAATATTCTCTTGCACTTAAATACTCTCTTCTCCCCACCTTTTGAAAAAAATTAAACTATCCTTCAGGCATGTCTTTGATGTTATCGTGGAAGATCTAATTTTACCCAACACTGTGGAACACACTACCGAAGAGCTAGGCATGAAAAAGTTTGCTTAGTGGCAAAATTACCTGGCCCCACCCAATACACATTTTAAAGAGAACATGCAAATGTATAAAGAAAACCAAAACTTTAGAAACATGCACTGAATGTCCCAAATAACTACAAAGGGGCATTCAACACCACCCATAAGTCTTAGTTTTTTTTGTTTTTCATGTTTACACATGCCATGGATTGCCAAATCCCACTCTGATGCTCCAACATATGATCTGCTGATGACATCACACCCACTATTGAAACCCAGCTCAAGATTGAATCAAATCAACAGGAGTAAAGATAATATTTTAAGAAATAAACTACAACATAGTGTTGTACAGGATACAAACTAAGATTTTTGTTAAAAAAAGTAACCAGAATGCAATTGGTTGGTAAATCTTTTTCTTTTAAAAAATGTCAGCTTAATTTTCTTTTAGTGAACAACAGATGTTTTTGACCAGGTACACAAATCCTCAAGGCCCAATCTTGCAAGTTGCTGAGTGGAATCAAATGTCCCACCAATTTCAGTCAGAGTAATGAGGGCAGCTGCATTTTATAAGATTGGGCCATTACATATTTGAAAACTAAGGACTGATCCTGCAATCAGGCCTCCATAGACAGATCCCTGTACTCATTTTGAAGTCAGTGAGACTCCACATAGGTGGAACTATCTGCCTACAAGGATCTAATAGCACAACTGGGGCCTACATTAATTCCTAATAAGTCATCTGCTTCTTTTCCAAAGTGATTTGCATAGTCTTTAATGTACAACAATGCATTTTCGGAAGTTCAAGTCAAACACTGTTCTAAATCAATTCAAAAGCACTAATCATGCATTAACAACTATTCATGTGATTTAAGGTTTGAGAGACCAGGTTTTAAGTTTGGACCACGTATTTTTAGAAAGAGAAAAAAACACACATTGAAATTGTTTAAGGAAATATTATAAATATGATAAAATATAAAAATTGCATGCTGTGATAATTCCTCTCATTTTTGGATGTTTTTTAATTCTCCCCAATACTCAAGAATGCAGATGTACAATGCCTTCTAAGAGTCATAATCATGGTACAACCAGTAGCACAAAGGCTGAAAAATATAATAGAAGCTATTTATTCTTGCATTAAAAATTTCATTGTGAATAGTTAAAACTAGAGACATTACCACAAGTGTTAATATCTATACAGTCCATTGGTTTTATGTATCTGAAGACGTAAGAAGAAAAGGAAATTAAAAAAAAGGAGGAAAAAAAAACATTGGGCTTGGTAACTTGTTTTTCCTTTAAAACAAGTGACTTTCAATTATGAAGCATTAATAGCAAAATAGCACTAAGTACCTCCAAAGCAACTGTAAAGGTCAGTTCAGGTTAAGTAACTTTACTTGGTAGATTTATGAGTTCATTTGTACAGTTTGATTGCTTAGGTTCCAACCTTGGAAGAATATTCAGATTTTAAAGCCAAAAGGGACCACCACTGTGATCATCCAATCTGACCTGCTGCATAACACAAGCCATCGTAGTCAGAGAAGTTTTGTACTGGCTCACTTGCAGGATTGGAGCCCTAGAGTAAACTTTTTTACTTCTAAAAACAAGCACAACAGTTAAAAATAGCCTCCTAATCTAACTATAAACAAAGCTCCTTTGTACTAACAGTTCCCATTTTACGTACACAGAAGCACAGCACAGGAAGGGACTTCTGGGTCATCAAGTCCAGTCCTCTGCTATCGTAGGCAAGCCCTTCATATAATCCTGTTCATAAATAAACCAAACTCCATCAACATACAGCACCATTTGGAATAATTTACCTTGTACTTCTTTATCATGATATTCTTTTAGTTTGGACCACAGATCCTTGAAGATGTCACCAGTAGATTCAGCAGAGCTGGGGCTCCCACAACTTCCTCCAGAAACATTCATCTTGTCTTTTCCAAGACTGTTTTCACTTATCTTATCTATGGTACTTGTTCACTCTATCCTTTTTAGTTTTAAATTACATAGCTATGAAGTTTGTTTCTGAAGACAGCTGCATGCCTGTAATGACAGATTGACAACATTTACATTTGCATGTATCAGAATATGACTTGCAGCCATGATGAAATACAAAGCCCACTGCCTGTCATTGTCAAGTTGTATTTATTTAGTGACAATCATTCACCTTAAAAGCTTGGTAAGTTCTAATTATCTTGCCGAAAGCTAAAAACTATTGTATAATAAAAGTTTTTTTTTTTTAAAAACAGCTACCAAATTCAAATTAGATGACAGATTTTAAGGATTGTTCACACTTTTTCCATGTTTAAAAACATTTTAATCTAATTCCTGATTACCAAATTACCTTACGATCCCCACATTTTACAATTTGAAAATGCTTCAATACAATTTTGTAAAAGGGGCCAACTGGCTAAAAAAAAACCACAGGGTGTGCACATGTATTTCTTTATGCATATAATTCTAGATACGGGCTCAGAATGCTCATTCCTAAAGGAGGAAATCAGATGAAGAGGAACACTCAGGTTCCCCTGGTAGTTTTCTCTAAATTCTGCCACCAGGAGTGGGATTGTCTCCTCACAGAAGAATAGGAGGTTGGTCCCAGAACTTGCAGATCCCCCAAAACCCATGAGGATCTTGGGATCCATCAAAGTCACAGGGTCCTGTGTCTCTGCACTGAATCAGATTCCTCTCAGACTCCAACAATATGACTCAAATGGAGTCACATTGCAAAGAAATTCTTACCTACTGCTGCTCCTGCTGCCTTATGAGGGGTTCCACAATGAAGAGGATCTCCTCAGGTAATCTAGAGAGGAACAAGGTGCTGTGGTTAGGATACTGCATTGGAACTCAGAACTCGATTCATTCCTGGTGCTGACACAGATGTGTGACATTGGAAAAGCCATGCAATCTGTCCCTCAGTTGTGAAACTGTGGATAATTATCTTTCCTCTCTCCCAGCCGTTGGCTTGTCTCTTTACATTGTAAACTTTTGGGGTCAGGGACTGTTTCTTATTATATGCTTGTACAGTACCTACCCACCATTGGTCCTGATCTTAGTTATTATTGTTCTGTAATACAAATGATAAATAAGTACATTAATAATCCCCCAGCCCTTTTGAGTTATTCTTAAATGATGATTCTGACTGAGCATGCTGGAGACTGACTTTTAAGACCTGCAGTTGGAAGGGGCCAGGGCTCCCTGAGTTTCTGAGGTAAAATGCAAAGTTTCTCCTCATACCCCGCAAGACCTAGGAGTAACCAAGCAGCTGTACTTTCTAACGTACAAGTCCATGAGCTACATAAACATATGTATTGAGGCTGCAACTTCTTTCACAAACAATAGGTGTCCTAAACTCTTCACATTAGGAAGGATCGTTCAATGGTTTGAGGGCTAACCTAGGACTTGGAAGACCTGGCTCCAAGTCTCTGCTCTATCACATACTTCCTATTTGACTTTGGGCAAGCCACTTAGCCTCTCTGTGCCTCACTTCCCCATCACTAAAATGGGATATTAGTACCTCTTTATCTTACAGCCTGTTTGAGGATAAATACATATAAAAGAGACTTGTGTGGAGGCTCAAAATGTGCACCTTACATAAAACAGACATCAGACAGCCCCAGATATGCTTGAATCTGTTTTGGCTCTTGGAGACTGAATTACATGACCTATTGCACTGGCTATAAGTTTCAAGTTAGCGAAGGTTCTCATATTAAACACAACTCAACAGAAAACAAGTTACCTTTTGGAATTACGGATAATTACTGGTCACCAACTGAAGTCATGATAGAGGTCTCCATACATCTTCACAGCTGAAATGCTTCACCTTGAGCCATCATACAATGCTTCTTTGTGGAACCCATTGCCTAATAACATTAGGAATGTCTTTTAGACATTTGTTTTCATTAGCTTTTAAATAGAGCTGCCTGAGAAATCACCTCTCTCTCTATGAGCAGTCAGGACAGTAGAGATAAGATGCGTCCTTGCTTACACCCTTAGATTTGAACATCTAGCGACTGTCATTTTCAGTTGGAGGGCACGTGATTTAGAATTTTTCTTCCACTTTTGGGGATTGTCTCTAAGGTTTTTCTGCATAAATTTCCCACAAAATTTATTTTCAGTGGTACATAATGCTGAAATTAAAAGAAAAAAAAGTAGTGGAATTGTCCTAAGCTCCATCAGCTTTGTAACCCCAAAATGAGATGCCAGTCATGGCAGATGTTCAACACATGATCATGCATACTCTGCTTACTCTCCTGCCTCTAGCAGTCAGTGTTCAGGAATATCCCTGGACAAGGCTGGGCAGTTGTATAAGCACAACTGGCATGTGATAAAAATGAACAAAACTGAGTCTGGATATTAAGAACTGATTCCAAAACAGCCTTCATGGCTCTGAAAAAGAGCTTGAAACACTGAACTGAATGTACATGAATGCATGACTACCTCCAGCAGAGGGAGGAGCAGGAGAAAGCTGCCTGATGCCACCCACTGCTCTAAAAATGAAAAGGTCTTCACTCAGCTGTATTGGCGCTGCTCTGTAGCTGTTACCAACTTTGGGTGGACTTCCTTAAGAAAAGCTCTTGCAGCCAGTAACATTCATAACACCATGATGCTGTTGACACTCCAGAGGTTAGACAATTATTAGAAGTGCGAGCAGCCACAAAAAAGTCGTCTATACATTATAATCAAAGAGGCTGATAAAGGAGGTGCTGTTGTCATCATGAACAGGTCTGACTGCCAAAAGGAGGCTGCCGGACAACTCCAATACCAAATTCTACAGGCTACTTTCCTCAGATCCCACTGAGGAATACACTAAGAAACTGCACCATCTACCCAGGACACTCCCTATGCTAACACAGGAACAAATCAACATACCCTTAGTGCCCCGACTGGGGTTATTCTATCTACTACCCAAGATCCACAATCCCAGAAATCCTGGACGCCCCAGCATCTTGGGCATTGGCACTCTCACTGAAGGACTGTCCACGTATGTGGACTCTCTACTCTGACCCTACGCCACCAGCACTCTCAGCTATCTCTGTGACACCACTGATTTCCTGAGAAAACTACAATGCATTTGTGATCTTCCAGAAAACACCATCCTCGCCACCATGGATGTAGAGGCTCTCTATACAAACATCCCACACACAGATGGAATACAAGCTATCAGGAACAGTATCCCCTGATGATGCCACAGCACAACTGGTTGCTGAGCTCTGTGACTTTATCCTCATGCACAATTATTTCAAATTTGGTGACAATATATACCTCCAGACCAATGGCATCGCTATGGGTACCCCCATGGCCCCACAATATGCCAGCATTTTCATAGCTGACCTGGAACAACACTTCCTCAGCTCTCGTCCACCCATGCCCCTTCTCTATCTATGCTACATTGATGACATCTTCATCATCTGGACACATGGGAAGGAAACTCTGGAAGCTACTGAAATCGTGGTGGAATTCTTCCACCCCACCATCAACCTCAGCCTGGACCAATCTACACGGGCAGTCCACTTCCTAGACACCATGGTGCAAATAAGTGACTGTCACATTAACACCACCCTATACCAAAAACCCACCGACCGCTATGCCTACCTTCATGCCTAGAGCTTCCATTCCGGACACACCACACAATTCATTGCCTACAGCCAAGCGCTGAGGTACAACTGCATTTGCTCCAACCCGTCAGAAAGAGACCAACACCTATAAGATCTTCACCAAGCATTCTCAAAACTACGATACCCACACAAAGAAATAAGGAAACAGATCAACAGAGCCAGACATGTATCCAGAAGCCTCCTGCTGCAAGACAAGCCCAAGAAAGAAACCAACAGAACTCCACTGGCCATCACATACAGTCCTCAGCTAAAACCTCTTGAACACATCATCAGTGATCTACAACCCATCCTGGACAACGATCCCTCACTTTCACAGGCCTTGGGAGGCAGGCCAGTCCTTGCCCACAGACAACCTGAAGCATATTCTCACCAGCAACTACACACCGCACCATAGTAATTCTAACTCAGGAACCAATTCATGCAACAAACCTCGATGCCAACTCTGCCCACATATCTACACCAGCGACACCATCACAGGACCTAGCCAGATCAGCCACATCATCACCGGTTCATTCACGTGCACGTCCACCAATATAATATACGCCATCATGTACCAACAATGCCCCTCTGCTATGTACATCGGCCAAACTGGACAGTCCCTACCTAAAAGGATAAATGGACACAAATCAGATATTACGAATGGCAATATATAAAAACCTGTAGCAGAACACTTCAACCTCCCTGACACACAATAGCAGATTTAAAGGTAGCCATCCTGCAGCAAAAAAACTTCAGGACCAGTCTTCAAAGAGAAACTGCTGAGCTTCAGTTCATTTGCAAATTTGACACCATCAGCTCAGGGTTAAACAAAGACTGTCAATGGCTCGCCAACTACAAAAGCAGTTTCTCCTCCCTTGGTGTTCACACCTTAACTGCTAGAAGAGGGCCTCATCCTCCCTGATTGAACTAACCTTGTTATCCCTAGCCTGATTCTTGCTTGCATATTTATACCTGCCTCTGGAAATTTCCACTATATGCATCTGACGAAGTGGGTATTCACCCACAAAAGCTTATGCTCCAATACGTTTGTTAGTCTATAAGGTGCCACAGGACTCTCTGCCACTTTTACAGATCCAGACTAACATGGCTACCCCTCTGATGTCTATACAATGACTCTCAGAAGTAGATATTTTTGCAGAAAAACCCTGGAATAGACACAGGCTTAGTCTGACTGCATCAGCTTTAAGGTCATAGCGCAAAGCCCATGAAGTAGGTGGTGGACAAGGTTGCAATTTTTACAGCTTAACTTTGGGGCTAAGTCTATTTCGTTTAGATGGACACAACATTCTTTACCAGTACATATACACCTTGTAGTGAACATGACAAGCAAGTTTGAAAAAAACAATGAGTTCACCTCTACAGGATGAGCCATTTAATTTTAATTCTTTCATAAAAATGAGGTGAGATTTCTTGAGTGAGACAGGACAGGTGAACTAACAGCTTTTATTGGACCAACTTTTATCCGTGAAAAGAGCAAAGCTTTGAGATGTCTTCACCGACTAAAAGGGCTAAATCCTCCCCCCCTCCATTGCTTCCCTCTGTGGTTGGTGCCTTGGAGCACATGCTTTAGAGCCACCAAAGCTGCCCAGAGAGGATGCATCATTTCTTCTCCAGGCTGAGAGAAGTAGGTATTTCACAGGAGGCCAAAGGGGACAGCTGTGTTTGCAGCCCTGTCCATGGGCTGAGAGGGCCAAATCTCATCCTCACTTCCTTACAATGACTGCCTCGGTCAGTAACAAACTAGCGGTCTGAGCAGGGTTGCAGGGTCACAGGGGGGAGGAAGGGGACATTTCGGGGCAGGGTTTGCGAGCAGTGGGCTTGGGGCAGTATCGGGGGGCTTGGGGCTGATTCAGGGACCCCAGGGAGGGATTCTGAGCTGGCTGCTGGGGGGCGGAAAGGGGGGCGGCGCGTGTTCCTGTGGGGCGGGGCCGGGGACCCCGGGGGCTGCCAGGCACCAGGGGGGCGGTTGTTTGGGGGCCGGCACAGAGGGGCTGTTTAGGGGAAGGGGCCTCCCCGCGGGTCTCCCCCGAACCCGCTGGCCGCGCGGCAGGGCTGCCCCGCCCGGGTCTCGGCGGCGTCGGGGCGGGCGAGACGCCCTGGGCAGCGACTCGGTGACGGGAGCTGCGCGCGGGTCGCGCTGCCAGAGAGGAACGGGGGCGGTTACCTGGCGGCGGCTGGTTAGTCTCCAGCGGCTCGGCGCAAACGGCGGGAAAGAGAAAGGCGAACGGAGCAAAGCGCTGCTCTGCGCCCCCCACTGGGCGCCTCAGGGATTGCCCCGGGTCGGCCGGCGACTTCTCACGAGACGGACCGCCCCCCTCACACTCTCGCGAGAATCCCCTGCCCCGGGGGCGGGGGCTTTTTGGGAGCGGTAATTAGAGATACTCTGAGGCGCGCGGTCGGTAGGCCGCTGTAGGGCAAAAAAGAACCGCCCTGTTCCCCCCTCCCCCCGCCCATGAGATTGGGCTCAACGTCAGCGTGGGGGCGTAACAGCCGAGGGGTGGGGGCTTGGCTCCGGCCTGGAGGATGCGGCTGAACGCGGCGCCGCTCATGTTCCCCACAACCTACTTTTTAAAAAGTCGCGGGCCCCAGAGCGCCCCACGCCGGCTCCCGGTCCCGGTCCCAGTCCCAGAGCGGCCCACGCCGGCTCCCGGTCCCAGCCCCAGAGCGCCCCACGCCCGGTCCCAGCCCCAGAGCGCCCCACGCCCGGTCCCAGCCCCAGAGCGCCCCACGCCGGCTCCCGGTCCCGGTCCCAGTCCCAGAGCGCCCCACGCCGGCTCCCGGTCCCGGTCCCAGAGCGCCCCACGCCGGCTCCGGGTCCCGGTCCCAGAGCGCCCCACGCCGGCTGTGGATTTCCCCCGGGTTTGTGAGATCCCCGCGGGATTAACGGAAAACACCATATAACGAGAGAAGAATCACGAAGTTGGGGACGCGGGAACCATGAAACCCCAGAACGACAGCGCGGAGTGCCGCACGTGTCAGTCCATCCTGGTGGAAAGCCAGGGTGCAGTTTGGGAGCCTCACCTTCCTTGAAAAATGTAATCCGCGAGAAAAGACCCTATATGAAAAGGGAACAAATTCACCCCTGGTATCCAACCTAAGAGGCTTTTGGATTTATTGGGTCCCAGCTTTAGAATTCCCTTTGGCTGCTGGAGCCTTAATCTGTTTCTCATCAAGTCATGCTGCAAAATCCATCTTTTCCCCAGAGTTTTGGGGAGGGAAGGGTGAGGGATCTGTATAATGAGGGTTGGAAGCTGTGGTTGGAGAGTTTTCTTTTCTTTTCCTTCCTGGTTTTGGGGAGGCTGCTGTATTTATGTTTAGTATAGCAGCAGTGCCTAGAGCCCAGGAAAGGTACATGCTAGTGTTTTATATAAGGGTATAAACATGTAGGGCCAGATTCTCCTTGTAAACTTCACTGAAGTCTGTTCTACACTTATTAACCTCTGTTGAGGAGCTAGCCCATAGAACATCTTCACCCAAACTACAGGGAAACACTCTTTGGGCCTAAACCTCTTCTCTTTAGGGAAGCAAAACTAAGGGACTTTAATTTGGAAGTTTACGTATGTATAAACTGAAGGATCAGATCCAACTTTCTTCTAACTATATTCTTCCTTTTCAGAACTCCATTGTACACACACAAAAACATCAAGAATTTTGTAGATATGGCGTAGTTATGAGCTTGGAAGACTTGCACTTGCTTGGCTATAGGCCAGTCCTACAAACACATGCTATTTTACTCACATTAGTAAATGAGTTATATATGTTTTAATGTTTACCATATCAGGTCTGTCTTGCTATTTCACCTTCCCCTTGTTAGATTATTCAGTCACATACTTGAATGCTTAAGTCACTAGAACAGTGATTCTCAGACCTCAGTGGTTCTGGAACCAAATTAGCAATCAACATTACCCAAAAGAGCCATAGGAGTGTGAATTCTTTGTTTCTCTTACTATAGTACAGTATGATGGGAAATATATATATAGTACTATAGTAAGAGAAACAATATATAAAAAATACAACAAAATGACTGAACAAGTATTATTTTATCAACTACAATGAATTAATAACAGCCTGATTGGTTAATAATTAAATCACACTGTTTTATTGTCATGTGCTGCAAAGAGCTGCAAGAGATACATTAAAGAGCCACTTGCAGCTCAGGAATCTCAGTCTGAGTATCACTGCACTAGAAAGTAAAAATGGAGAAACTTTCTAAATCACAATTAGATCTAAAACAAAGAAAAACTTTCTGAAATATGGTCAGATTAGAATCAAAGCTGACTTTTGAATACACTTTAAATTTAAAAAAAGAAAAGGAGTACTTGTGGCACCTTAGAGACTAACAAATTTATGTGAGCATAAGCTTTCATGAGCTACAGCTTACTTTGAATCTGATGAAGTGAGCTGTAGCTCACAAAAGCTTATGCTCACATAAATTTGTTAGTCTCTAAGGTGCCACAAGTACTCCTTTTCTTTTTGCGAATACAGACTAACACAGCTGCTACTCTGAAACCTGTAAATTTAAAGTTCAACTATGTTGAAAATATTACAAGTCTCTGTTAAGTATATACCTATTACTAACAAGGGCTTTGAAAATCTTTTTAGCCCATTTTCTTTCTCACTCCTCAATATTGTTTGTTTAATCACTTTTTATTACTGTAGAGATTTTTGTGTCTTCCGTATCATCTCAAAACTTTCTAAAATATGCTACTACATTTTTCTTTTGAAGCCTTCAAGCTTTGAGAGTTCAGGACTAGGAAGACTTTGCTGGCAGCTTCCTCATACTGAAGAAGGAAAGCTGTCCTTGAATTTATGCTAAGCTCTGTTAAGTAACAGTAAAAATCACCCTAAGTTGCTAGGTCAATAATGCTACCATAAACCAAACTCATGTTTTGGTCTATAAAGCTGCTCCAGGAGAGATTATACACTTCACCATGCTTGGACTCAGATTTCTTAGGAGTTAACTGCTTAGTACAATTAATTATGTCTTGGTTCTCCTAAGCATGAGAAAATAACTTCTTTCTCACAGATAGTCAGGTTTCAATGCATCTCAACATTTTTGGAAATAGGACACTCCTAGTATATTTGCACAAAACCCTACATCTTATAGTTCAGTTACATAGTGTGAGCTATAAAGTTCATCAGACTTAATTCTGAATTGTAATTTTACTTCCAAATATGTATTTATAGCTAATGAGTTAATGCTGCAATGAGGAATCTAGGTGGTCCAGTAGAAGATTTAAAAACATAAATAAAATAAATTGATCTGCTAAGTTTATGATGGGAAGTATGATATGGTGAGATGCAAAAAGCATTGCAATAAAATTAGTATCAGTAATTACAAACACTTATGCAATTGTTTTCCCTATAAACTACATGATCCCAATTCTTTCATTGGTTTTTAAGGCAATGTAACTCCACTGACTTGTTGGGGTTACTCCTAATTTAAACTGTAGTAAATGATACTAGAATAAGTATAATAGTTTTTGAAAATCATATTACAGTGAACTTTTCCTCCCGTACCTACTTTCTACTAAGGAGTCATTTATTTGATTTTCTGCAGAAAAATCTGACCCATGGTGACAAATTTGGCCACAACTTACTTAGTAGATACTTGACTAATTAAATGTACTAATGAACTACTGAAAAGCATTCTATTCCAAATTCATTTACACTAGATGTTTAAGTTTACTATTTGAACTGGAACACCATATCATTCATCTAACAGGAGTAAATATCCACATCTAGACAATAAAACTGTGGGAAAAAAGACTCTGGCATTGTTGCTGAACAGATTCAAAAGTTTCTGTGGACTCATGGCCAGATTTCAAAGGAACCCTTCACATGACACATTAACCTTGGTGTTAAAATACTTATCTAAAAACAACTCTGAAACAGGGGGTGGAATCTAGTTAAATTGATGCAAGGGTTGCTGTTAGTATGGAACTGTTAGTTATCAATTATAGGTTAATATTAATGTCCTTGTTACTGGGTGACCTGGATTATTTACCAGCAGTTTTATCAAGCTATTGATTGAATTACTATTATTGCAGCGCTCCCAGAAGCACAGATATAATGAAAAGCCTGTTATTGCACCAGTTGCTTACGTGCTGCATCAATGTATAGTAGGAATTCTTAGAACATTAGGTGATCCTATAGATCATATACATGGGTGCAATAGGGCTAGCCAGATAAGCGGGTAACTCAGAATTCCTTGCTTTTATTAGATTAATTTAGATTAAAAACAACTTTGAGTTACATATCTTAAAAATTACCTAGAAAATCTGCATTTGAATTTTATTTTGCCTTATTATCAAAAGGATGAGGAAAATGTTTCCTTTTTACTCTAAAACACATGTGAATGCATTTTAGTGCTCATGAAAGCTACTGGCTCAACCACTCCATCAAGTGAAATCCCCTATTTCTCCCCACTGCATGGCCAGTGTGTTTATGACCTCCCTGAACTCTGGAGGATCCACCTCCCAGGTAAATGTGTAGTTCGTTCTCCAAGCCCATTAATTCTTTGGTCTTTCTGTTAAGACAACCAATAAGGATGTCAGTTAGCATCAGTTGTAATGGTGCTTTTGTAACTAGGTCTTTTGCCACAGGGCACTGGACTGAGATCACGATCACCAAACCACCAAGTGATGGAAACACTAGATGGCATTTGAACGACCAAACTAGAAACTGGCAATTCCCTGAGCCACCCAATCCCCTCCACTGGGGAGCAGATAGAGTTTGCTACAGCTCTGTGGTGCTGACAGCAGTTACTTCTGGTGGGAGGAGTGACTCCACTAACACTTGATTATAGTTCTGAGCAGAGGAACACTTCTTAAACTGGCTTCCCCAATCACTTTTAAAGTCAAGTCAGCATCAATTCTTCCCTTCTAGCAGAGCAGACAAACATGGAGAGAGAGAGAAGGCTGAATGGGCTCCTTCTCCATATTGCTTAGAGTTATCATGCCGGTTTAAGGAACATGAGCTGTAGGACTATGATACTAGCTCTGATAGCTAGCTTCACAGTGCTACAGTTAGATAGTAGTCAGTATGTGCAGGACTGGGTGCTAATTGTAGAGCTTATTACAGAGATTTCAATGGGGCTACTTAAGGTAGTAATAACTACACTTGCTAGAAGGACCAGCTCCATAGTTACTTCCAAAACATAGGGCAAGTTGACACTACCGTGCTACATCGGCGCAGCTGCACCCATGCAGCTGTGCCGCTGTAGTGCATCTGGTGAAGACATGCTATGCCAGTGGGAGAGTGTTCTTTCGTTAGGATAATTACTGCACCTCT